TACACTACCGCTCCCCACGGAGACACATACAGACAGACACACAAGCAGAGAGAGACAACACAGAGACACACAGAGAGAGACACAACATAGACATAGACACACAAGCAGAGAGAGACAACACAGAGACACAGAGAGAGACACAACATAGACATAGACACACAAGCAGAGAGAGACAACACAGAGACACAGAGAGAGAGACACAACATAGACACACAGACAGACACACAAGCAGAGAGAGACAACACAGACACACAGAGAGAGACACACAACATAGACACACAGATAGTGTCTATGTTGTATGTCTCTCTGCTTGTGTGTCTGTCTGCGTGTCTCCGTGTCTGTGTTTTGTCTCTCTCTCTCAAATTCTAGTTCTACCTGATGACGACTGCTTGTGCTGCAATCGAAACGTCGTATTCTATTATTTAAATCATTTTCTTTCTACGTGACTTTACCGAGAGAACCAAAGAGTAATTCCTGCAGTCACGAAAGCTTAAAATAAAGTTTGAGTTGAGGTGGGTTTCAAAAACGTTGACTACCGCTACAGCTTCCCGTTGTTGCGAGGAATCGCCAAAGTGCGATGTCGCCTGCAAGTGGGCATTGTACGTCCCGTGGCTAAATTTGCAAGAGAGCAAGGGGCTCGAACGCCACTGTCCAAGACTGGCGCATCACAAATGTTTGGATACATTTAGATCACTGCCGGATGATCCTAGTAGCAAAAAGTGACTACACGTGCTACGGGCCCCGCACTTTCAAGGGCCCCGCGCTAAATACTTCCAAGCTATCGATTCCGGTTCAGTGATTCTGCACTTGCTCTATTACTATAGTACTATACCGCCTTCAACTTTTATGAACGACTGGGTGATTAAGGTTAGCGATATGTTGTATTATCTGGCTGCATAGCAAATGAAAAAATACAATTACTTTAAAATGCAAGTAAAAAATTTGTGTTTTAATATTCATGTGTTTTTATTTTTTTTATTTAGGGCCCCTTCATAATATATGATACAGACCCCGCACCTAACTTCATCCGGCACTGACTTATATGAGTGCTTGAATGTGCGTACGTGTACCTGAGCATGGGGAACACCTGAAATACTAAAATCTGCGAGTATGCCATCGAGAAATGCATGTATATTTGAACTTCGATTTAAAGCTTTCGTGACTGCAGGGATTAATATTCTTGGTTCTTTTGGTAAAGTCACGTAAAGTGAAATAATAATATAATAAAAAGAAAACAAGAAAATTCTCACGATGTTTCGATTGCAACACAAGCAATCATCATCAGGTGTAAAAACCACAGCAATACAATTTTCTTGCTGTGGTTTTCACACCCACGTGACTTTACCGAAAGAACCAAGAATATGTTTGAACTTCTTTTGCACCGTAGGTAGACAACCGTGCTAATGGCAGAGCTCATCTACACTAGTGGCCTTTAGCCAGCGGCAGAAATTTCCACGTTCTCATGCCAGGGGCCAGTAACTTCATAATATTACCAGTGTTAAATAGCATTAGATCACCAGTGTTGGCTCGTGTCGTCTACTGACGGGCCCTGAGTCAGTGGTGGAAATTGCACTGTCCCATGATGGGGGTCAGACTATCCATCGAATAGTAATGATAATAAAGTTAGTTATCTGTTCATAAAAGTCTTGTCGAGTCTCTACGCTATTTATTCCGTGTGGTTCCATTTAGTCTTTTAGAATGCGAGAGGAGACTGAGGTGACCCATAGCTGTCAAGCCATACGGTTTACCCGTGTTCTTGTACAGGGAAATGTAGTTTTTCACGGCCATACGGCCTACAGCCGTTTCAATACGGGCAAAAAAATATATGTATATTGTCTATTCATTTGTGTTTTTTTTTCCCATGTGATGTAGGATGTACATTGAGATTGTAAAGGGCACGGGATAACCAATAAGATCTGAATTGGTCTGTAATAAAGTAGGGCACTGATAAGGGGTTGACAGGTTTGGTAGCCCCAAAAAAGCAACACGTACGAGGAGGCAACGCCGACACGTAGTGAATAAATATTATCCACCTACTTGTTGTGCTACCCTGTTAAACTAACCATTAAAAACGATTACTTTGCAACTTGCAGGCTCCGGGGTCTGCCATGAAGTTAACGAAGCTAAGCCTGCTCCCAAATGGAACGTAAGAGGTCCACATTCGTGTGGCAAAATCCATGTCGCCATCGAGCGTTACCAACACGGTCTTACGCGCGAGCAATGCGCACTTCGCCAAAGCGTGCAGACACGAAACTTCTGGCCCGTGAGTATAGGTGCACCTTGCACGACGTTGCTATACTATAGAAGATGCACACGTGTGTGTTTTAGTGGACTCTCTGGTGGTCGGGCGGGGGGGGGGACATCACGCGAGTAAAGACGTTCCCGGACAACAGTGAGGTTTGCTGTTCATCACAGCAGCCCCTCAAGCTGTAGCCTACGACACCGCTCTGATTGGTCATTCAAGGACTATCCGGGTCTCAGCTCTTGCTTGGCGCCTGCTGACATCTGACGAAACCGAGCGCAACCGTCAAAGCTGTTGTGGAAGTCTGGAGGGGAATGCGGCAGGAAAAACACTCTTTTTTAACAAACGTCTGATCGAAAGAAATTGGGGATGGCAGGGCCTACCAAGGCAGGCATTGCAATGGTAGCCAAATAAGTTGTTGATCAAGAAGAAAAATACCGAACGCCGGATGGATGGTTGGGACATTGCGATGGTAGAAGGAAATACGCGTTTCCAACGCGTAGTAGCATCGATGGCGTGAGGCATAATGACACCTGAATTTTTACAAGGCAATCTTAGGGGGCATTTGGCATCTTAGCAGAAATCATCTGAACCTGTCTCAATGCGCCATACCTCTCTTATATATTGTATTAACTAAAACTCTACTGCATTGCAACTTACATAACTTAGGGCTATCCAAACTTGCACTTTCAGTTGGCCTTTAAGCTACGACGTAAGAGCCCGGTGCAAGTCAGAGTCTCTCTTGCAAGTCAGAAATGGGGAAATGTAGGGACAAATGAATCACAGAGCAAGGCTCACCATCATCGCCAGCATCGCAGCTGCAATATCTTATACGACGTGAGAATGTTGCTTTAAATGCAGTATAACATTCCAAATAAGTCCTGTAAGTAAAATCTTAATCGTCGTTAAAATATATTTTTCTCTCTCTCTCTCTCGTTCTTGAGCTTTCACATTTCTTTAAACAGGTTTAAGCCCTCGGAATATTTGATCGACGCGCATATTTGTGACTTACGTTACAAAGAAATAACAAAGCTTGGTTTTACTCGTGTGGTAAAACAAAAAAATACGCTTGATTGAGTGGTATAAATTCAATACATTCCCATAACCCGCGCGTTACTCTACACGAACGGAACTGTAATGCTTTGCTAAATCAAAACCCCCTCTTTGTGCTCCTGCAAATAAAAAACTAAAAAAATGGGTTTTGCTTAATCTGAGGAAAATCGATCCTTTGCTTTGCTTTGTGTGTAATTTCAATCGAGTAAATTTTCATCTCTCGTTAGAAGACGACCTTTATTTTAAAGGGAGCTTTACAATCTGCAGAAAGTGCTCGCTTTATTAAACAAAACACGGTGGAAAGGCGTCGGATTTAGACAAAATGAAAGGCCTTAGCTGTCCCTGGGATTCCCTTACGTGCACCGATCGCCTAGAAAACAAAACCCACTCCACGCCACGTCACAGCAGATCCCTGGCTTCCACTCTTCTACCCTTGCTTGTGTGACAAAGATCTGTACTGCATAACATCTGTACAGTCGCAGGATGCCCATGGAATAGAGCCTACCGGCACATTGGGCCCTTCCTGCAGAAATAAATCAGATCTAATATGTTCAGGAGCAAAATGCCAATGTCGAGGTCTGCTGGCCACGATTAGCACGGTTGGCTATGTACGGTGCAAACGAAGTTGAACATACATAGGGAGGGTTTCAGAAGAGAGTTCGTGTTGTGTTTGGTATTCCTCCATTGAAGAAGCAAAGACTACAGTGATTTACTATATAGTCCGGAGTTTGTGTTGCATGACCAAAGTCATACTGTAACTTATGTCTTGAATTTCCCATTCATGAAAGAGATATCCGCATCGGCCTGGTGATGTTCTGATGCGGTTGACGGTTACACCACCGGTGTCTTTGAGTAGGAACGTCAAAGCCAGGAGGCTGCAATGACGTTTGGGTCTCGAATGAGGTGTTTATTGTGGACGTGTAAACGAAACTATTTTAATTTAACCAAGTAAAGCCCACTGAGCTATATAGCTTTTGTTCAGAAGGAACCTGGCGACAAATTATTGCTCAGCGAACTAGTTTAATCATGTGGAAGTTTAAAGCATCCAAATACTCTAAATACAAGTTTCTAAATGTTGAGGGAAAACCCAGAGGACCCGGAAAAAAAATCCACGTGACCACTGGGAGGACATTCAAACTCCAAATATACAGCAGCAGGTGTCAGGGTCGGGATCGAACCCACGACCTCCTGTATACCAGGCGAGGTAGTTAACATCTCCTAACCACCGTGGCATCCTGCCACTGCTGCATATTAACGCGGTGCTCTAGAAGTTGAATTGGTGGATCGCGTGGGAGGAGGGAAGGGAATGGCAGTGAGATGCCAGCACAAACCAGTACAACAAGCAGATTGCCAACATAAATCTGACTGTATTCGTTAATTCTGTCGTCCACCAACGCCTTGCACTCAAGCTTACTTGATACAATCCACCTCTGAGGGATGGAGGGGGGCGGCTTGTATAGTCAGGATCTCATTAATGAGCTCCTCTAGTAATTTCTTCCCAGTTCCGACATTGGGTACAACTCGAAAACACGCATCAGAGAGAGATAAAATCTGAGCGTATCCGTGTGTCAATTAAATTGGAGGTGGTGCTAATCTCCATTGTTGACCCTGAGCCCGTGGTGGAAATTCCACATTACCGGGTTGTCGATGGGGCAAACTGGCCCCGAACAAATGATGAACATGTGCAAAGGACTGTAGGATTTACCGGAAAGCCATCCCTCCCCGGTTGCCCCTGTGGGAAAAACAGATAGAAAAATAAAACCAAAGTAACACGTGAAATTATTCTATTTTGTTACGTCAAGCAACTAGGCATCCAAAACGAGTCGCACAGAAAAAATAGTGAATGTTAAAACATTAAAATGTGCATGAGCATTCATCTATATGTTTTTGCCTATGACGTACTCGGTTTTAATTTGAGAAAAATTGTTTGCCTGTTTTCTAAGCACCAATATGAACAGCAAGCATTAAATAATCACAATCATAAGCCACTTTTAATCCACTGCTGGATGCAGGCCTCTCCACTGTCACCATCTCCCATGGTCCCGTGATGCTATCATACAACCCGCTCCCACGTGTGAGCTGACCTCATCACTCCAGCTCTGTGGTGGTTGTCCCTTTTACTGTCATTTAATCACCAAGAAGTCGCAGCACGATCCTCGGGGCAGCATTCAGAAAGCAAAATAAGCTTGGCAGGTGGAGAATTGGGGATTCCATCCCCAATATCACGTGGCCCCCCACCAGCACCCAGAAGGCAGTGGAATACCAAAACAAGTTAAAGGCTGGGGACACGCATCTCCAGCACAGGACTGGACTTTCTTGACCTAACTTAAAAGGGGTGAACACACTGGAACCCCTGTTTTTTGAGGGGCAAGTGGATTGGGAGCAGGGCACGGTGTGGCTGCCTCTAAAACTCGCCTTAACGTGAGTATCAAGGCCAAATTTATGGTATTCGGTGGCTACTGCCATGCCCTCAGTCCTACGTTTGGAATCCAGAAGAAAGTGGAAAAAATGAACCATGGCGAAAAGTAAGCACTGCAAAGAAACGTGAAGAAGGGGCCATTATTGTGTGATGACTACAGAGACTTCTCTCTGGTAGTGCCCTTCTTGCCAGACGAAGGTGAAAGCAGGCCAGGTGTGGTGTTGGCCACCCACCCCCTTGTGTGCCGTGCCATCCTTCATAGGTGTTCGATAACAACACTTGCGCCAACAGTCTGTTAAAGGCTATACAGAACGATATCTGTGTCTTTTTTTGAGGACATGTAGGCTAAGTGTCCGACCCTGACTTTCACTTCCATGGAATGCAGCGGAGTCCATTTTGAATTACCAATGCAGAATGTGACGATTGATTCACCACAGGTTCAGGATGGTGACCATGAAAAATCCTAAAGTAGAAATCCAAGACCTCCACAATGGCCTCTATATCTGCAAACCTCGCGCCTTCAGTTTTCAAGGCCTGCATCACTATCACTGAGGGTTCCTGTGGTGCTTGGGAGTCTCCCCAAAGGGAACTGGAGGTCTGACATAGTAATATGAGTGTACTCGGTTTGATGGTGTCCAGAGGCAATAGATCCTGGGTTGTGTGCTGCATTGCTTCCCAGCGTTGTACAGGTGTCCTCTAGTCGAGGGGGCACCTGGGTTATCAAGACGTCAGTGTCCCACCCAGTCTCAATCTTTGAAGAAGGTGGATTGGAGAGGCGGTGTTGGAGCTAACCATTCTCACCGCGATTATCTAACCCTGAAAAAGTTTTCCCGACCTCCAGGAGGGTTGGCCACTTCTAAAGTAAGCCGGGTGGGAGTAGCCTTGGGAGTAGTCTTGGTTCCTGCAAGGGGGAATGAAAATAAGGCGAGCCTGCAAGGCTGACTTTTTTATCCCTCTGCTCCTTGTCCTCAAGGCCCAGGCCCTCCTGGGTTGCTATGCCGAGAGAGTAGTTTGCGATTGAACGGGCGCTATGAAAGAGAGACCTTCAGTGAGTGGGCGGTACAGGGCTTTCTTTGTAACAGGGCCTACCTGGCCACCACTCAGGTGACCATAGTTCTGGCCTTCCAGTTGGCGGTGTTGATCTGGGCACCTCATGTAAAGGCAGAGGCCAGTTATGGATTTCGTTGAACGCTGTGTTGGCAGCAGCATTGTTAATCTTGCATTTCAGTTTGAGGGGTGCATTTCGTGCCAGCTTTCTTGCATACGCGACATAAACCCCAGCTCTGAGGGTAAGTGTAGCCGTGGAACATTCCTTGTGGGCCTCTTTGTCTGCAGTCCTATCGATGGGATCCGGCAGGGCTAGTGCAGGGGTTGTCCACAACAGTCCTCTTCTTCTTTCGCATGGCTGCTGACGTAGATGCAGAGCAACGATAACAATTTCACATTCAGGTGGTCATGAGGTATCCGCATCTGGCGTGGTTTACCAGTGGATGCGATTTAGGGTGGACCATGAGCTTCGTGGAAGATCAAACCCAGGGGATCCTTTGCGTTGGCTTTTCGCAACCATGTAGTGTTTTTGGTTCTATTGGGTAAAGTCACGTTGGTGAAAATAAATTTTCACCAACGTGATTTTCACCTACGTGACTTTACCCAATAGAACCAAAGAGTATGGATCCTAGCAGTCACGAAAGCTTTAAATCTAGAAATGTAGTGTTTTGTTTGTGAGTTCTTTTGAACTCCATTCAGCTGTATGGGCTTTCATTGGGGCAATGACGCGCCGAGCGATGGGAGCATCCGCAAGGGGGCTGCCGCAGCAGGCCCACCATTCATGAGGGCGACTTTGGGCAGAGTGCTTCCCGGCGGCACACGGCAAACGCTTGTCGGGCCAAGGCACTGCACCCATTGCCCTTGCTGGCCGAGTGCCGGGCCACTTGCTCAAGGCGCCATACCTCAAGGCGGCTTGGCACGGGTCTGTCGATTTCGAACCCGTGAGGCCAAGGCAATGAGCACTTTCCCTGATTCCGTGATCGGGACTCGGGCGATGAAAGTGCTAGTCGTGTGGGTTGGTTCGTTCCTGCAGTGCCCTGCCATGTCTATGGCCGAGCGGGGGAGGCCAGGTCTCTCCTGCCGGCACAATTCTGCTTGGGCCAGCATGGCAAAAGACCTTGGTGTGGTCTAATTGCTCCTAAGCTAACCTAACTGGGCCCAGTGCCTCTGGTCACTATGCCAAAAAATAAATAAACACTGTCTTTTGGCTGTCAAGGGTCATGTGATTGTGGGGGGGAGAGGAGGGGGGGGGGGTAGAATTCTCACGTGTCAGGCTTCTTTGATTTCTGGACGCTGCTGCGAGGATCAAGGTTCAAGACTGTGAACTGAGGGCATGGCAGTGGCTGCCAAATGAATGACCGGGGTATATTCCCGGCCCCACTTATAACACCGCTAGTGGGTACAGTCAAATGGGAACTGCTTCTGGGCACAACCACCTTCACCAACAAGTACTGACCAGCATGATGAAGTTTGGTCAAACAACCTCCGTGACCGACAGAGCAATGGGAGGCCTTCATCCAGCAGTGGACTATCTCGGTAAACATCAAACTTTAGACCAACGTTGGCCCAATGTTTGCATGTTTACTGGGATAGGAGCTAAACATTATTCTCACACATTTATTGCAGAGTGCTTCAAAGTCAATTGAATTCTCAACGTCTCGTAAATGTACATTCTGTATGATCTACAACCAATTGAGACAAATGTGTATAAATACGAAATAAAAATAGCAGGACTTAATAAACAAAAGGAATGCATTATGTAAGTTCATGCTTTAAAACATGCAGTTGGTTTTCACCTTGACATTTCAATGTTAGCTTGTAATATAGACTGCGTCATTGTGCAACATAGCTTGACTTACCTCAAGGTTGTTCTGTGCCACGGTTCTAGTTTATTTACGTTCTCACAAAAGAAATATCTTGGGGGTGAACATGTGAATAATAATAAGAAATTAAAAATACACGATGTTCTTTTCTTACCGGGAGGCCTGATAAATGAAGAGAAGCAGAAACACACGCATACACACAGCGAGATTGAGAGAGAGAGAGCGAGAAGGTGATTAATGAGAATGTAACAATACAGAGTATGGTTTCAATTATGTCATTCCATACAAGAGACATTACGGGGCGGGGGAGGTAAAATCACAGACAGTGCACAAGCAACACACGTAAAACCTTGCCACATTCATTACACTGACAAGGCAGTTTCCGAGTTAATAACCTTAATCTACAGCTCTCTTGTCATTCCACTGCCGGTTCAAGGCGTCCCCACGTGCCGTGTCGATCATGGGGGTTGCCTATGCGGGGTTGGTGAACCGTGCTTCACCATCCTGTTCACTTCAAACAAATAGCCACACTGACCCAGTGCGGGTTGGTGGGGAGGGCCCGAAGGCACGGTTCATCACACGCCACTTGCCGCTGATGCGAGCCGTAGCCAGGAATCGGGACTCAGCTTGCCGGATTCATCAGGCAGCGTGTGAGCCGTTGCGCCACCACTCCCAACGCCGGTAACCCATATAACCAGAGCTTAAATGCGACGTAGCGTCGTGAAACTGACCTGCAGGCCCGTCTTCGGTTTAGAAAAAAAAAGCAATAGTACAATCATCAGTGTGGGGGTCTTGGGGAAGAGGGGGAGTGGTAACGCAGCAGTTAGTGCAACGTCCTGCGAGCCCAGTGACCCGAGATCGGTGGCTCACGTCAGTGGCCAGTGGCATCTGAATCGGTCCTGGCCTCTCCTTTCATCAACACACGCTGACCGGTGTGGTGAAGTATGGTCAAACAATCCCCGTTGATTGATACAGCGCGGGAAGGCCTCCGTCCAGCGTTGGAATTATAAAGTGCTGTGAATGTGTCTGGGTGGGGCTTGTTGGTGAATGCGAGTTGAGGTTTATGAATCGCGATTACTAGCTGGATGTTTTGCAGCAGGAGTGACATCTGTGCATGTATGTACGTTGAACTTCTTTCGCACCTTACGTAGCCAGCCGCGCTAATCGGTGGTGCGCGGGGGAGAAGGACAACAAAACTAACGGAAAAAGCAGTTCTAAAGAAACAGAGTTTTCAATCTAGATTTTTCGCATTGGGATCCTAGGACGGAATGCCCATCATAAATTTGAGTTATTATTACAATTGCATAGCTCTCGTGGCTGTGTGGTACGATACGAGTCAGAAAGCTGGCCTTTAACAAAGCATTTACAAACAAGGCTCCTGGCACTTGAATACACATGCATGTGGAAGAGGCAAGGCATGTCTATGGCAAGAGAGGGTAAGATATTTGAAAGTTCGTAATGGAACCTTGGCAGGCAAGTGTTGTTGATGCGATCAGGAAGAGGAGGTTGCGATGGGAGGGACCACGCGTTAAGCGTGGAGGAGCGCAGGTTCCTGAGACGGCCATTGGGATGGTTCCCGGTGATCGATAGCGAAGAGAAAGACCTACAGCTGCATGGTGGCATAATCTAGGACTCGAACTATGTACGTCATGCAAAAATGTTAGAGCAGTTCCTGTAGAACTGCCCTTTGACCCTCGGGCCTTCGGTCACCATCGAAATAAATTGGAGAAAATGTGACCGACCGACTGGCAGCAGTGAGAATGTGGAGGGCAAAACTGGAGGACCCGGAGAAGAACCACTACGGGGGAGAGAGAGGAAACGTGGACTCCAAATATTCAGGCATCGTCAGGGTCGGGATCGAACCCATAACCTCCTGCGTACATCTCCCTCGACTGGCTGGAATTTAACCCTCAACTTTCTGCCTGTAAAATCAAATACTCAAACAGCATTGCCACCCATACACGGAACTTACGTGACACTTAAAGATCAGGATAACGTTTCTGAAATGCAAAATATCCACCGTAAAGCTAAAGAAGGTGATTAATGGAATTAGTGATCACTCCAATTGACTTCAAAGAGAGAGAATCTCCCGACTTGATGAGGCTTCTTTGACAGAGTTATAAGGGAGCTGTAAAAAAAGGAAAGGCCAAATTAATCAGTGTCCTGTTATATGTCCAAACAAATTGGGACCAACACAAATATTTCAATATTTTGATTAAATTGAGTATTAATGTTATTGTTTACAGTTGAAAATGTATTTTTACGCATAAAAGTATCCAAAAAGTACGAAAGTATACACTTTGACATGTCCGTGACACAATATTATCATATTCTTGGTTCTTTCGGTAAAGTCACGCAGAAGGGAAACAATAAAAAATAATACAAATATAAAACAATAAAATTCTCACGACGTTTCGACTGCAACACAAGAAATTTTGAAAAAAGATATTATTACAATATTATCAATTCATCAAGCTGGTGATGTTCTCGAGGCACTCTGGTTTAAATAAAAAAAAATTGGCCAAACATCACAAGCAGAACCTTCTTGAAAAAAATATTACGACTCTGCAGCTTTTCCACATACCAATGCTAAGCGAAAAAAAAGTCTCCGAAGCTTCTGCAATACGAGACAAAGCCACTGCAGCAAAATCTCAACAACGAGGAGCTCATTCACAAAAAAAATATTAACTCATCAATTCCCACTGTCACGGCCGGACAGGAACTACCACCCAAACCTGCTGGCGATGACAGAAAGGATTTTTTCCCGTTATTGGCGGTTCGGAGCGTTTCTGAAATAAAATCACGCTCAATTCCTTCTGACTGCAGACCTTAAATATAAATCTTTCTTATTTTTTTTTCCCCCACGTTAAAAAAAAAATATTTTTACGTAATTTTATTGACGTTCAGAAAAACATATCCAATCCTCCCGAGTGCAACACGGATCTCGTTCGTACGAAGCTGCGCCGCTCTGTGAGTCGGCGTGCGTGCGTGTCTGAAAGAGATCTCATCTCTGCGGCGGTGAATATTTGTTTTCAAGCCCAAAGGGACTTCTTTTTTGTATCGCTTTTTGCTGCTCAGTCATTGCCAATTTGACCGATGCTGCGCAGACTTCACTTAGCGCTGACATCCTGCCCTAAATAATGAAGACCAAAAAAAAATGCCCGTATTTGTCGACGTCTCAAAGGTGACAATGTTTTTTTTTCGTGTAGCCTTTCAAGAACCAGACACCTTTTGTTTACAATAATTGATTCATTTATCAGTGTTCCCAGGCAATATATCTTTTGGCAGTTAAGTATTAATTGCATTCCAACTGTTAATTTCTTCCTTTCCTCTGACCCAACATTACCATTTCACCTAACGCTCGTGAAGCTCCTTCATACAATATAATGCAGTTACTGCTATTAAATTAACTAATTAGGTTCGAATTTAATAACTATTATTTTTGGTTAATTTATATTTAAGTTGGTATTTTTTCATTTGTGAATTGTTATGTATGACTCAGGCACACACTGGGCCAACTCCTTGAACAAATTAAATCAAGGAAAGCAGTTCAATAGCCACACCAACGAGGCCTCGATTTAAGTTCCGAATTTTTTTTTTTATCGATCAGTTCCTGGAGAATCTCCCCGCACGTGGATCAAAGCGACAGGCATCATGCCGCACAACACGTGGTACAACCACAACTTGCACCGGATAGCTTTGCTATCCGGCACACTCCGACTCCATAGCCATGGACATTAACCCTGTGCTGGGCACCCAGACGACTTCATTCATTATTATCATACTATACGATATTATTTAATTAAAAGTTTGGCTGGCTGGCTGGCTGCCCGGCTGGATGCCTGGATGGTCATGCCTACAAAATGTGGCCCCTCCCCCACTGCTTGAGTCAGTGACCGCCAAGAATCTCTGAGCATTGACTGCACTTCGGGGTTTTTCTTGTGAACACTATCCATCCAATAGTTCGAAAAGGGATGTTAGACATCCGCGTTGGAGGTGGCAACGTCCGTGAAAAACGATTTTATTGAAAAAGTCGAAACATTCCGACTATTGGATGAGTTGTGAAAAATGAAATACTTAGTGGGGAGATGCGCACGTCCTGTGCTTGGATCGGTTTGCCTTCTTTGGAAAACGGCAAGACAGACGATGGTGACAGACGCACCGTGGGGCAGCTGCGTTATGGGTTTCCTCCGTTCCCCTTCATTCCCAAAGTGCTGTAGAAGTGCAACAGGGAAGGGGACGAGGTGGGCCTAATTGCACCACATTATCCCTGGAGATTGTGGTTTTCAAATCTGCTGCCCATGATGACAGGGGAAGCCTGGCAGCTTCCACAGAGGACAGACCTCCTCAGAAGGGGGGGGGGGGAGGGGTCTCCTGGCATTGAGCTTAGTGGCCTGGGGCATGAGAGAGCTAGGTTCATGTGATGGGGTATAGTCACAGAGGCGTTGGACCACCTATCTAAGTCAAGGAGACCCTCCATGGGGAGGGTATATAACTCTCATTGGAAGAGGTTCTGGGGGCTGAACAAAGAAGAAAGATCCGAATCCGGTGTCATGCAGAGTAGCGTGCATGGCAAGGTTCCTCGCGGACGAATTCTGGGGACTCCTATCTTCAGTGGCAGTTAAAAGTCAGGGTATCGGCAATATCAGCTTTTCATAATGAGGTCAGGGGAGCCCCAATTGGCTCGGCCAAAATTGTGTCTTGGCTTGTCAGGGCAATGAGGCAGGAGAGGCTGCCCGTGAGGTCAGGAGTTCAGTAATTCATCACGCACAGTCAGCGAAGGACCGTTGCACCAAACGGGTGACCTGTTGTGACCACATTCTCATAATCTACTCTCGCTGCCGTACACCGGCGTCTCCAGCGATTTGTTTGATCTACGGATCACGGGAGGGGGGGTGGGGCGACCACGGGCGTGGTGCCATTACTTTGAGGGTCGCACTCCACTTCGAATATCAGCAGCCAACTGGAGTAAGAATAATTTGTTGGAGGTCAGGAGTGGTACCGATGGGACTTACATCTTGTGCTGAACATTCTGTGTCGTTCCTCTTATTGAGCCTCTGGGGACCTGTCCAGAGAGGTTCCTAACAATGAAGACTGCGTTTTGGTGGCTATAACTTCGGCAAGAACGGTCGGTGAGCCATAGACTTTGGTGGCAGAACCACCGTTCCCGGTACTTTCGAAGGAAAGAGCGGTGTTGAGGACTTCGCCTCGATTGTTTGCAAAATCCTCTCGGATTTCCATATTAAGCGGGAGATCATTCTCCCAAATTGTCCTGCCCGTTTCATTCTAAATGTAGAGGCCAGGTTACATGAGGTTTAAGCTAAGGAGGACCCTTTCCTTCTACCACAAAAAAAGATCTAACGAGTGAAGGAAATCAAAACGAATCTTTAACAAATCTTCGTGCTGTACGGTCAGAACAAGAGTTATGAACCTGCCTCTAAGCTGAGGGTCGCTTGTTAGCCGACAGAATGCATCCAAGAGGCTTACCAAGCCAGAGAAGCTAGGCACGCGGGGGTGGTGGGGTGAGGGGAGATGTAACCCCCCAATTCGACGAGGGCAATGGCAGTGCCATGGGCCAGCAGGGCAAGGAATGGCTGCGTGGAGCTCCCGACAACACACTTATGAGGCAATGCAGGAGGTGATACCGCATTGGTGTCCCAGGAGGGCCACTTTGTGAGGGCAGTCCTCTTAGCGGCATTGACCCACGGGGGGGGGGGGGGGCGGGGGGGGGGCGAGTATGGAGAAGCCCAATATCCTTCCCGCCGCCGATCAGGCTCTGTTGCTGGCTCACAGGTACGGAGCGCAGTGATGTCAGTGACCGCCGTATGCGTCAGTGGGGCTCTAGGGGGCACGTTGGGCCCAGCTTTCGTGGGCGGTCACCGGCGGGCACTCTTCGTTACCCACCTTTGAGAAACGTGCGTTCGGAATATTTGGTTACTGTAAATGTCCACGTGATAAGCCACTTCGTTGGGCTATCATTTGTTGCCAGGTCGGCTCCTGAAAAAGAGCTACATAGCTCAGTGGGCCTTACCTGATAGAATAAAAAAAAGTATTTTTTAAAGTCAAATATCTCTTGGGATCACAATGTGTCTGCATAATAAGTCCTTCATAGAAAGTAAAAGATCAATATGGGAGGTTTATATGCGCAGCAATTGAGACTTATAAATATAAGTAATTGGAAAGTGGAGAAGGAGAGACCCCATCACATCATTGTGCAGTGGTCATTGTATGAGCGTAGGCGATTGTGTGGTTTAACTTAACTCAAACTAACTGCTCCTTTGTTACCGCGCTGATGAAAAACATTGAAATAAATCATCTAACTGCTCGAACGATTCCGTGGTTAAAAAAACTATTTTAATTTTAAGGAAATTCACAATCTTTGGTGAATACCTCATTTATCTCATCAACCCCTTCAAAATGAATGGCAATGCAGCGGTTTATTTTCTCTTGCATGGCACAGGACAGTGTTTGTGTAAGTTTGGGCAGCTGGAGAGAGACGGGTGGAGAGAGCTGAGGTCAGGGCGGGAAGTGGGGGGGGGTCGAGGCCGCGAATGACGGCAAAGATGAGAGACGTCGCAGGGCGCGCGGTGGCGGGGAGGGTGGCCGGTTTCAGCTGGGAGGGAAAACGATACCAAAAATTGGAGCAAAGTAAGGCCTCACCTGGGACACCAGCTCTTCCCTTCTTTCCACTCTTTCCTGGAGGACCTGGAGCAACAACAACAAAAAACAAAACGCCCATTACAGTATCAACAACAACAACAACAAAAAACGCCCATTACAGTATCAACAACAACAAAACCAAAACGCCCATTACAGTATCAACAAAAACCAAAACGCCCATTACAATATCAACAACAACAACAACAAAAACACATTTAGCTCTGGCTGTGTCGCCATTAAAAAAGAGCTTCTTAGTTTAACGGGCCTTACCCGAAATAAACTGACGGATTATTTTTCAGTAATAGCGAAACAAATCCCAATTGTTGTTTCCATGTCCAAACAAGCACGTTGGCTGTGCTCATCTCTGTAGGCAGCCCTGAGACATTGGTTGAAGTTCCACATTCATATGCCGTGGGCCAGTGCCTCCATCAACACCTGAGGTGGCCACTCCCAAATATTTCTTGGCAACCCTGCGATCCTCCACCCTGCCCCCCGTGCTTCATCCATGACGAGCTCATCTTCCACAGGGAAACATCGTAAAGCAACAGGGACGATTACTGTGATGGTAATAACAATGATTTGAAGCCACAGCCTTACAGTTGTAGGGTTAGGTTTAATTTTGGCACAGGTAAAATCCCCATCGAGCAATTAATGCTAATTTTCGATGGAAACCTGGTTACATTAACCTGGTTACTCTGAAAACAGAGACAACCAATGGTGGAATTCAACGTACCCATGGCACAGTACAGTCTTGCCAAAGGATGGATGCTTTTTACTCCCCACAGGGTGGTACTCACAATTGTTAGCATACTATCCTGTCTCAAGTCATGACAGTAACACATACCTACGATTAGCACGGTTGGCTACGTACGATGCGAACGAAGTTCAACATTCATACATACATACAAGACACTGTGCACTCATGTGGTATGATAATTACGAGGGTTTAGATTCATGGGGGAAATTAAAAAGGTTGTTTTGTGGTCATGATGATGTCGATGATATTCGCCAGGGAAGTAAAAAATGACCTCACTGGAGTCTTGGTGAAAATAAAGACAGTGGACACTTGGTGCAGCGGCAACGGATCAGACGATAGCCGCGATCATCGATGAACAGGAGGAGGGAGTCATTGGGGCAGACAACCAGGGGGAAGGGAGCTCCAGGCAGTGAGGGCAGCAGAGGAGAAGAAGCGACTTCCCCATTAAGCAGAGAGTAGCTGCAGATACCAAGAGAAGGCCTCGGTTGATAAAGCGGAGGGTTTCACAACAAAACACGTGCTTGGAATGACGTGCACGTGGGAGGGTGCACAGAACGAGATGAGATGGATCAAAGAAGGGTCGCTCGTTTGCGTTAGAAAACCAATGCAGCGTTTGAAAACGCACGCCAAACTGCAGCCGGTCACGGTAAAAAAATTTTCATCGCCCACCGAGCTCCTAAAATATTTAAAAGAACAAACTTTCCTCCAAGAAACGTAGTGAATATTTTGTTCGAACAAAGAACAGAAGGCTCCCCGGGTCTTTATTGAAGTAATCAAACTACCATTTTTAGACGCCTTATTTCCGTCATCACTGGAAAAGGTAGAAAGTTTTATAATTACATTAATTCCATGGCCCTCGCCTTAACATCATAAGGCCTTGCCCAGGCATGGAGTATAATGAATGAATTGAACTGTATGAAAGCAGAGAGGGAGAGCGGAATGGAAATAATAATCACAACACACGGCATCACATGCCCCTTTAATGCACCCTTTTCGCCACAGTAATAGTGCATTACGTCAATTTACTCGAAGTGGCAGTGAAATTCAAGAAGGCGTCCTCTAACAGAGGGGAAAACTGTGGCCGAGGAGTCGGGAATGCATGCGGCAGAGCTACGAAATGAAGGCTGCATCGTGGACTGGCGGTGAGAGGCTGCCGTTTTTCATAGAGCGGGCAGCCTGCGTCACGCCAATAGAATGAGGAAAGATTTGCCTCGCTTTGAGCGGCTTCGACTCGTATGATACCTGCAAGCGGCTAACCTATTTCTACCCAAAATTCGCTTCCCTATGCGGTTTGAATCCACTCTGCACGCGGCTATGCGGTGGGATGTGGTACTAGATTGAGTACTGTGTGTGTATACTGCGTGTACCCTGTGTGTGCTGTGTGTGCTACTCGGCAGGCAGATGTCCTCGTGCGGTTTTTGCTTTGTGCGCCCTTTTTTTGGAATGCATCTACTACTACCACATAGAGAAACGTGTACTACTTTCTGGGAAGTCAGCAATAATTAAAAAGAAAGACTCGCTTGGCTAATTGAAATATAGAAATGTCATCACGGTCTAGGGGCCACCAACAGAGTGGCACCCCGTTGTTACTTTGAGCAAGACGCGTGAAAATCCCCAATATAAATACTGGACATTGATTGGGTTAGAAATAAACCGTTAAAACATTTGCACAACGTCACAAAGAAGACTCGCAGTGGGGCCGAAGAACAGACGGTATGTTTGCGAAGGTCGGATATGTGAGCAACCATAGAAATGCACAGCTACACAATGCCCAAACACTACTGGGTTGTGGGTGGTTAATTGATCAGGGCGGAGATAAGCAACATTGTGCTGTGCGTACGACAATCTGTATCTGTGGGCTGCATGTGTGTTCACGTGAGCTCCGGATATTCTGCTCATAAAATCTTTGGAGGACATTCACAGCAAAAACTTGGCCCATGCACACAAGATTAGAGCGGTCGTATTCGGCAGTAGATCAACTGCGAATAGAGGGCATATCACCCTTCGCTAAGCTGCGAAGGGTCTTCCCCAAAGAAACCCACGGGCTCACGGGATTTTTTTGTTTGTTTTAGACTTGAACTAAAACAATAAGGGACATGAAAGACATTTAACAGATGTCGTCGAACACACGAGTCATTAAAGTGTCTCCCAACTCGCAATGCGCTTCAGAGCGGACGCTCGGTGATGATGTCAACCGTTATCCGGCGGTGAAAACTGCACCAACCTCATCGCCGGAGACAGCCTCTCCAAATGACCCCCCCCACCGCCCCCAGCCACAGCTGATGCCCAACAAAGTGGTCCTATGATTATCGCCGCTCAACCCGAGCTATAAATGCTCTGATACGTGCATTGTTTTTGTACCGTTCGCTCCTCTTGATGCTGTTGAGGCTAGGCCATGAAGAAGGTTGTCTCTGGTGTAGAGGACAATCCGTCTCAAGGACAATGCTGTGTTAGTATCATCAGAGCGTGTTTGTTTGCATGTTCACCACAAGTACCGTGTGGTTAATGCAGATTCCTTGCAAAAGGTACCTATTTGGTGTTTAAACATCTTAACACCTCCTGTTTTGTTGCCGGCAAGGGTACAAATCTATTGTTGTTTTTTATACTTCGATACTATCAAACCTTGAAAAGCTCACAACTCTGATTGTGAGTTGACCTCTTGACCACATCACCATTCTGTAGGATATCACAGCGCGCAGATAGTTAGACTTTTTTTTACGTAAGACATCAGTGCTGTGTTGTTGCTGCACTGGGCAGCAATACTAAGCTAATTCGAGATAAACATTGCGAACAGTGCTTGGGATATTTCCAGCCAAGCTCACTCAGCAGTCGCTCAGTTGCACCCCTTTGTAAATGTTTTTTGGGTTTGAACATTATCAGTAGGAGTAGCGACGGAGCAATCTCGAGCTCTAAGCTCTCACGGATGCCCGTCCGGCGGGCTCTTATCTGCTCGAGCCGAGGCGTTTACAGCGAAGGCGGAGTTACATTTAACAGGCAGGGCATGCAGGGAGCTGACATGACTCTCTGTGCGAGGGCAACACTTTTGAAGTGTATGAGTCTTCGGTCTCAAGCAGAGACCATAGACTCACACAGAGACCCGTAGACTCACAGATACCCATAGAGTCATACAGAGACCTACAGACTCACACAGAGTCCCATAGACTCACATAGAGACCCATAGACTCACACAGAGACCTATATACTCACACAGAGACCAATAGACTCATACAGAGATCCATAGACTCACACTGAGACCTATAGACTCACACAGAGACTGATAGACTCACACAGAGACCCATAGACTTAGGAGCCGTCCATAAATGACGTCACGCACCTGGGGGGGGGGGAGGTCAGACATTTGTGACGATGTGTGACGAGGGAGGGGGTTTGAGAAATGTGACGTCACATCAAAATGCGCAACTTTAAATAAATATAGACAGCACGTTCTACTTAATTAAATAGACTTTTTAAATAAATGTTTTCTCCTACAACATCAGAGTGCAGCGCCACATTAAATACGCACTACAATGACAATAGTTTAAAGTGATTTGAAGCATATTTTTTTTGGGGGGGGGCAGAGCTTTGTGACGTCATATTTGAGGGGGGGGGGGTCTGACTTTTGGTGACGCCGTGTGACGATGGGGGGGGGGGTCAAAAATCGTCCAAAATCGCGTGACGTCATTTATGGACGGCCCCTAGACTCACATAGAGACCCATATACTCACACAGAGACCCATAGACTCACATAGAGATCTATGTACTCATACAGATACCCATAGACTCACACAAAGACCCATAGACTCACACAAAGACCCATAGACTCACACAAAGACCCATAGACTCACACAGAGACCAATATACTCACACAGAGACCCATAGACTCACACAGAGACCAATAGACTCACACAGAGACTCAAAGACTTACTCAAAGACCCATAGACTTACACAAAGACCCATAGACTCACACAGAGACCCATACTCACACAGAGACCCATAGACTCACACAGAGACCAATAGACTCACACAAAGACCCATAGACTTACACAAAGACCCATAGACTCACACAAAGACCCATAGACTCACACAAAGACCAATATACTCACACAGAGACCCATAGACTCACACAGAGACCAATAGACTCACACAGATACCCATAGACTTACTCAAAGACCCATAGACTTACACAAAGACCCATAGACTCACACAGAGACCCATACTCACACAGAGACCCATAGACTCACACAGAGACCAATAGACTCACACAAAGACCCATAGACTTACACAAAGA